GACTCACTCACATAGACTAAGCAAGTTTTCTACCACTGAATTACAGCCCAACTCCCAAACAGACTAATTTGACAGACTAAATAATACAGAAACAGATACCTATACAATTTATTCATGAAAAAATTACACTGAAATATTGAATTTTCATTATATATTCAATACATTTTGCTGAGACAAAACTGTATATGCATATGAAAATAAGTTCATTTTAACCCCTAACATGTACAACACAGATAAATACAATGTCAAGTTGTTCACAGATCCAAGAAGTGAAAGGTTAAACAAGAAAACCAATTACTTAATAACCTTCTAGGACATAATATAGTAAATACGACTACATTTGTTACACTGAGCATAAAGTGGAAAATCCTAATATGTAAGATTAATAATTTGGTCTATATTTATTTTATCTACAACTTTTCAAAGGATAACATTAAGAGACTGCAAAATTAAAAAAAAACTGGTAATTTTATTCTTAATATATTTACAAACCAAAAGCGCATACATAAAGTATATAAATACCTCCAATAAATCAATAACAAAAACCATTGAAAATGGCAGAAGTCATGAACAAACATTTCATAAAAGATAACATGTCAATATCATCTTTTGTAACATGCTCTCTCTGTGTCACTAGTAAAATACAAATTATAGCTAAGAGGAGATCTGTTACACAATTAATAGAATTAATTTAAAAAAATAAACAATACTGACAATACCAGTGTGGACAAAAGTGGGAAGAAATCTAAATTCTCCATCTCTCCTACTCTAAAACTGATCTGTTCATWTTTTTTGGTCAAATTTACCAAATACATAGATAAACATATATATCTTATACATGCCCTATGTTTCAGGAACCCTRCTTTTATCATTCCACCTGGCATAAATGTATTCATATATTAACCATGGGCATACCAAAAATCCATTGCAGCATATGAATACCAGTAAAAAACTGAAAATAAGAAAAAAAAAAAAACAAGTGTCTATCCACACTGGAATATATTACAGTATAATTATTTGCCAGAACACTATAATTAATATATAACAGTAACAACCAATAAACTGTCTATAAAACATGGAGTAATTTTACAAACAGTACTGTATAAAACAAGTCAAACACAAAAGATGATATTGATGATTACATGGGAATAACAATAACAAAGTAATGGAAACTATTATAAAACAATAGAAATAAAAATATTGGTTTTATTTTGAGGGGAAGGCGGGAAGGTGAAGGTGATTGATGATTGAGGTCAAAGAAAGATTCTAAAGTGAAAGCTATATTAAATATCCTATATTATAGTAAATGTATATATAACAATATTATATATAGTTCATGAAGTGTGACATTCTGTGATTGTTATACCTCAGTAAAAGATATTTAAATAATATTCTGAGAAAATAGTATCACGAGAACTTTATAGAAAACATATTACTCARGGAGGAAGTATAATTAGTACTTCTGTCTTAAAGAAAGGGACAAGATAAAAGGTATTCATTCTGCCACTTCCCCAATTCAATATTGTTTTGGGTATTATTGCCAATAGAATTGGTAAAGAAAAACAGTTATAGCTCTTAAAGAAAAAGAAAATATTGTTAAATCCATCAAAAATGCTWCCCACTTAAAAATGCCCAAAGATTTAACTGGATACAGAAACAAATAAGGATGTTTAGTAAAATTTATGGAATAAAGATCAACCTATAAAATTAATAGCTTAATGAATTGGCAATGTTCATTAGAAATTAAATGCAAAAGTTTACCTGCAACAACAGCAGTAAGTCTAACAAAAGCATATTTAGTCTATRTCACAACTGTAAGGCATTGATGAATCATAGGAGAACTGTAGTATAACATATGAGGCAACCTATGCTTTTGGATGGGAAGATGAACAACTATTATCTATTYCTCTAAATTTTTAATGTGAATGCAGTTTCAATTAAATTCCCTGCAGGTGTTTTATGAAATAGACATGGTAATTCTAAACTTCTAAGCAAAATATAAAATTTGTCAATAAAACTATGAATCAAAACAACRGGGGGGCAAAAATAGGAAGTATTAYAATGTAAAACACAGTTTTAATAATTAAACCATGATATGACACTGAGATTGACAAATTTATAAGTGAAGAATAGACAACTCAAAAAAATAGAGTTAAAATAAGTTTGTGCATTAGTATGAAAATAATCAACTCACAGAGAACAATCTAAATGGCAAAAAGGCAAAATATGTCTAAATGTCTATGTAAAAGAAATTTGGGAGGATTTGATTGATTTTCTTATACCCATGAAGTTATTTGAAGACCAAATACAATTATGGAATTAAGAAATGTGTACAAATTATTTAAAAAATCAGACAAAGAAACATCACAGTTTAATTTAATTTAAAATAATAAATGGTAAATAATTTTAATATTGAAATTGATATATATAATAGACAGGAAGGAAGTAATACAAAACRAATTATATGACAGGCATAGTGACAGTTAATTGTGATTAATTCATTTTCAAGTCAGCATGTTCTTCCAGCCTAGTGACCAAGACATTGAACTCCAGCAGTTGATTGATACAGTTTCCTTTATGGTGACATATCCTTGTAAATAATTTGTTGACCCTGTGATTTAATTTCTTCAACTGTAAAATAAGGTTAATAACTAGTGCTTATCTCATAGAGTTGTACCGAATATTAATGAGTTGGTGTGTATAACACCATGCTSTATTTAAAATGTTGTCCATGCACCTTATTTACCAATATTACATCATTGTTATTTAAGATCACTTTGGAGGTATTTTCATTCTCTAGGAGAAATAAACTGAAGCATGAAGTAGTAGTGAATTTGGAATAAAATGAAAATGTGACTTGTCCATTTCTAGTTAGCGTTGGCAGTGAGARTGAATAGATATCTGGGGCTTTAATAACCATCTGATTACTGACAAATTATTGTTTGTAAGTAAAAATCTCAAGACCAGAGAAAAGAAATATTGTATRTCTTAACAATGGTCCATTCCAGTTTCTTTTCAACAGGAAGACTGTGAAGAATGATAGACACTGGCATTTAGCAAATGAGAAAAAGAATTTTAGGGCTGGGGATGTGGCTCAAGTGGTAGCGCGCCTGCCTAGCATGCGTGCGGCCCGGTTCAATCCTCAGCACCACATACAAACAAAGATGTTATGTCTGCCGAAAACTAAGTAATAAATATTAAAAATTCTCTCTCTCTCTCTCTCTCTTAAAAAAAAAAAGAAAAAGAATTTTAGCAGAAAACTTTTCAAGACCCATTGCATTTATTGATTTTTATTATGGCCCCTTGTGGATATYGCTTTTTATAATTCTGCAGAATAATTATAAAATTTATCAAATATCTCAGTAATAGAAATTTTATACATATGTATTCAAATTCATTCTTTTTTGAGTTCAAAACTTTATATAAGTTACTCCATTTAATACATAAAGTATTGGATGAAGTCAATATTACATTTTATAGGTAAAAAAAAAAAAAGTAAAGGTTAGAGAGCAGGAGACATTTTTCTACATRTTAGAAACTGAACTTCTCAGCCCATATTTCACTAAAAACACTATTTTTCCTATGACTTCTTTCTCAATGTAGGACTGCATCCAAGTGTACTACCTAAGCCCCAAACATGGCATCATCATAACCTAACTACCTTACACTCAACCCACAACATACACAGACAAAATAATTTTAAAACAACCATCCTATCGATTTATTTTTCAATGTTTGGCTAGAATCAAACTAATCATCCCTTTTGTTTCAGCTTCTGGTCTCTTAAGGCCAGGACCATTTTTTGCCTGGACTATTGCAATGCTAAGTTCTCTAAGCACCGCACCAGGGGTTTCTCTGCCCCAATTCACTCTTAAGTTTGCAAATAGTGAAATTAAAGACCCTCATCTGATGGCTTTACTTTCCTAACAGTGCCCTAACTCCTAAACATCTTTTACAAGGCTTGCACATCCKTCTGCTTTCTTCTATCATCAGCAAATCCACAGCCCCTCAATTAAGTCTCAAACCTTCTGAGATTTATTCACTTTTTTAAAAATTAAGCAAGTTTATTTTCATTAATATTTAGAAGTGCTTTCACTTTGCATATGACTGATTTCTATTTGTCTTTTAAAATACATCCTACATATTTCATATTGCTTTTTCCAGAAAGGATTTGAAGCTCTCCTGTGTGTTCCAATTAATCACTGTGACTTTCCTTTATCAGGTAAAGTTTTAGATTGCACTGCAAATCACGTGTTTTCTATCCCCATTCCCCACTCATCAAACAAACACACACATGCACACCCACACACACAAACATACACAAACATGGACACTCATTCTTATTATCTTATTGAATAGGAATTATAGAGTAGTAACTTAATCTTTTGGGTAAATAATAAGTCGTAACTTAATCTTTTGGGTATAATTCCTGAACTTATTGACTGATAGTAGCTATATCAGCTATTTTTCTTAGACATGTTTGAAAGGGGGCACTTTTCAATGAGTTTTATTTCTTTATGAACTAGGAAAGAAACCAACACCCTGGTTTATGTTCAGGCTTTACCCTTTATTCCCTCAGTCTCAAAACTCTTCTGTGTGTCTAACATATATCTCCAAATCACCACTCTCCTTATAAAATTTCAAGGATCTGAGGGGAAAAAAAAGGTTAGTGATATAATGAAAAATATCCATTTTGTTTTCCAAGAATTATCTGGTAAACTATGCTAAACTATGTTTATGCTTGATGTGTATAAAGAAATTGTGAAATATTGCCATGGAAATTCTTTGGAACCTAAATACCTCTCATTAAAAAAAAAAAAAAACTTTTGAGATAACATGATATTATTTTTTTTCAAAAATTCTCTTCTATATGAAGTAATTAATAAAGTACAATCTAGATTTTTATCTAGATTTTACTAAAATATGATGGTTCCTGATTATGACTGATGCGAAGTGGAGTGTTTGAGGGCTCTCACACCTTCTCTTTCTGTGTTAGACAGGACTATGAAGAGCTAGAAAAGCAGCTAAAAGAAGTATTTAAGGAGMGGAGCACCATCCTCCGTCAGCTGACAAAGACATCAAGAGAGCTTGATGGAATTAAAGTCAACCTTCAGGTGAGATGAAAACTAATTTGCTCAGCAGCAAAGAATGAGCAGTCCCATATTAATATGCATTTTAAAGCAGATTTTAATACCTTTTTGAGCTTGGCCATGGTGGTTATTATTTATTATTATATAAGCTTTGAAATGAAATGCCATCTGAAATGCAGTCTAGGGATCTGAGGTGTGCAATTACAAAAAGGAGAAAATTGTGTGCTTGGTAAAACCATCAATTCCTCTCAGCTTCTAAGATCAGTTTGACCCTTATGTTTTTCATATTATAAAATGATGAAAAGTAATTAGACCAAGAGTTAAATGAATATAGGAATATTATCTAGAAGAGAATATTAAATTCCCCCTAGGAGAGCTCTGAAGAATCCTTAATAAACTTCATTACTGAAATGGGTAAATGCCTTGGAGAGGAGACTGTCATCTGTAAAAAATGTATTCATACAATGAAATCTCAATCACTAAAGTGGAAATAAAGTCTACTTCAGATAAGAAATACTTCTGACATACCTTTAATGTTTTAATATTGGACTTTAAGCAATGCATTTATTAAATACTTACTGTATACTAAGAATTTTGTGTATATTGCATGATGCAATACTCAGATCCATGAAGTGAATACTTTTATTGTGATTTCCTTGTTACATACAAGCAATTGTGTTTACAGGAAAAAAAAAAAAAAAACACGTTATTTTGAATGTCACAAAAGAAGCCAAAGTTTAAATGCCAGAAATCCAGCTCTAGGTTCTTTCTATTTGTAACTGAATAAATCATGTAGAATTACCATTGCCCACACTCTACTGCACAGTTTTCTATTCCCAGAGGATAATTATGATGCTACCCGCAACCAACAGAACTTGTTGAACTTGGTCAAAGYCCTGTTTTGGATATTCTTTCTAGAATTTCCAACATGAAAACTATGCTAGGCTTATTAAGTCTTATTTTATAGATGAGAAAGCAGAGTTAAAGGGAAAAAAAAAGAAAGAAAGTAAGAACACAGAGATAATTGAGGGACAGAGCTGGTATTTAAACCCAGTGTTCAAGCTCCCGTTCCAGAAATTGTGTGATGTCTAGAAAGAAGGAAAGAAAAAGAAAAAAAAAATCCATCCACAACCCAGTAGGACACAGAGGGAGGTAGCAGGATGATAGCAGTGTGCWATAATAGCACCATGCTGGAAATGTACACAGCACTAGGCAAAAATAACCAGGATGAAAGGGGGTGCAAATTGATTTTGAGTTTTACAGGAACCAGTGCCTGAGATGTACTTTATGTAAGTGGAAATTTGCCAGGTGAATAAGACGGGGAAGAATCTTTAAGAAATCTGAACCTCTCAGAGTCATGGAACATCGGGCACATTGCAAATACTGCAAGCATGTGGTTAAATGACCAGGCGAGGTCAGTGTTCACAGTGCTCCCTGGACATTAAGTCCCTCTACAGAAGTCAAGGCATCTAATTACAGAAAATTGATTAAAATGTATATCTTCATGGAGTTACAGTTTTTGAAAAGTTAACAACTCTACCCTTATATGTWGCTGTGATTTTTAAAATGCCTTTGTTTATTTTGTGCCAGCCACTATGCAAGATGTTTTTCATCTTGCTAAATTCTTTTAACAAAATCTCCACAACATTAAGATCATCTTATAATCATTGTAAAATGAGGTAGCAAAGGTCACAGAGGCCACAGGAATTTCCTGAAATCATACATATAATAAATAGTATTCCAGGTTTCAAAATTACAAGTAAATGTATAGCCCATTGTACACAGCATTTTTCAAACATAAGCTGAARGAACTTTGAAAGTTCAAGGATGAAAGTCCTGTTCATCTTTGTAACCATAGCACCTAGATGGGATGATAATATAGCACAATAAGTAAACATGTTTGCTAAATAGTTTTTATATAAACCATTAGTATCCTTATAGGGACAAGATTATTTTCATAGAGTTATACCCTGCTTCCCTGGATATTGCTGAGAAAATGACAATAAAGTACACCTAGTTCTTCTAATTGAATTGGCCTTGCTGATCCCATCTGTGTACATATGCCTTCCATTTCTGCATCAGGTTTGTGGAATTATTTTGTTGTTTTTGTTGTTGTTTTTTTTCTGTTTTATTTTGTTTTGTTTATATTTTTTGAGGGGTTTGAAGAGTGCTGAGAATCTAAAAAAAAAAAAAAATGGAAAAGAAAAATTGCCAAGTATAATTCCCTGACCTTTTTACTCATGCTTTTCTTCTGATCCATATTATAAAAGTTGGTCAATAAAGTAGTAAGCATATTTTATTGCACTTATTCTCTCAATGCTTTCACATGTCTACTTAAATTCTTTGAGTCAGATTACTTTTTAAAATAGGCTGCTTAGAAATTTCATCTTTAGCGTACAAATAAAGAGGTCAAAATGCTGATTTTGTGAACTGCCCCAAGTCAACAACCATGATGGACTTTGATCTGTAAATCTCACAAATTATGACATTTTTTTCCATTTGAATTCCTCATCCTGCTTTCCTTGTATTTTATGTGAAGCTACTCTTCCCAGGTAGACAGAACACTGTTTATTGTCTGCTTCCAAATGAACACCCCAGTCAGTCTTATTAGGGAGGAGATTTTTCAAGCACAGTTCATCCCACTACATCTTAATAATAATAATTATCATACTATATTCATGTTCTCTTTTAAGCATGAGATTGAAAAATGGGTGAAGGSAGGCACAAGTCTTTGCATAATTTATGATAGATATTTATTAAATAAATATTAAGAAAACAAAGCATTTTCCTTTTGCTATTGTTATTTCTCTACCTGTCAAAGCTGCTATATAAACAATTGTATTTCCTTTTCATTTGAAATTTTAATGTCAAGAATGACAGGTTACTCTCTTAAATAGTTTATTGAGTATATTAGGGAAGGTTTACTATGACAGTGTCCCTAATGAGAAAAAGCCTGGGGATCTTTTCTACTTTAATTGATGGCCTCAGAATCCTGAATTTATTAGAGTATATAAACTCTAATGACTAAGATAGTGTGTATCTGTTTGTGATATATATATATATATATATATATATATATATATAGTATTTTTCTTCTTTTTTTAAATACCCTATCTGTAGGGATCATTTACAATTTTACATGGCCCTATGTTTTTGTGGATCCTGATACATTACTGACAAATAATAACAGGACAAGACCAAACAGGCATGTGCCTTTTGACTGCTTTTATCTTTAATTGTGTTATTTCCTGACTTACACAGGCAGCCTTTCTGTGTCTCCTTGTATTTTTTGAAACTATGCCAGAGCTAGTTTAACATGCCCTCAGAGAACRCAGTAAAACTTCAAAGAAAGTGTAGAAGATATATTTTATATTAACTTAGAAAAAGACCTAGATTTTTGGAGAGTATTTTCTCCTCTCTCAAGCCTCTCAAAGCTGAGTCTAAGMTTACCCCTCTGACTCAGTGTGTGATATGCACTGGAAAGTGTCACAGACTTCTGTATGGATCTTTAGAGCTATGAGGACCATTAGGGCCTCCTTTTTACTGTTTCTGTCACAGGTCAAAAGTGCAGTCWTACCATGTATGAGGTAGCCTAAAGGAAAGTGAGCCTCGGTGTTTCACTAAATAAGACTTCCTTTTCCCACTTTTCTTGTCAGTCTTTAAAAAGTGATGAGCAATCTGCCAAAACTGAYGTTCAGAAGCTTCTGGAATTAGGCCAGAAACAAAGGTAAGACTGTGTTTGTTTTTTTTGTTTTTTTGTTTTTTGTTTTGTAATTTTCCCCTACATTCTTACATTCTTTTTGATGTTCCATCAAAGTATATCTGGAAATTTACTAAAATTCAGGAATGTATTTATCTTCTTAACTTTACTGACATATATATATATATATATATATATATGTAATTCACTGGGGAATTCTTGCTTAAGTGTAGATTCTTATACAGTAGATCTGAGGTGGGGCTTGAAATTTTGTATTTCTAAGGAGTTCCTTAGTGATGGTAATGTTGTTCCTTATCTGCATATCATGGTTTGAATGACAATGATCTGTAACACTCTTCTTTTAGCACTGATAGAACATGAAAAGTCTGCCCATCACTACATAGAATGGATGCTATTTATCACAATGAATCATGAAGAAAAGGGTCAAAACTTGACCTTCACATGCCTGTAATCTCAGTGGCTCAGGAGGCTGAGCTATGAGGATCTCACATTCAAAGCCAGTCTCTGCAATTTAGCAAGGTCCTAAGCACAACTCAAGGAGAACCTGTCTAAAAATAAAATATAAAAAAGGGTAAGAGATGGTTCAGTGGTAAAGTGCCCTCTGAGGTACAACAATAACAACAAAAAAAGGAGTAGGCTTTGAGCATGTGGCTCAGTGGTAAAGTGGGTTCGATCACTGGAACAGAAACAAAAACAAAAACCAACCATCACCTGGATATCATGGGTACAATGTATGGTGGTGTGGTAAGGAAGAGGGCAAATATGTTAACAACAAAATTTCCATTGTTATAATATTATTAATGTTGTTTGCTTATTTTATTTTTTACAAGCCATATGATTTTAAATTTTATTATAAATGAGGAATTTTAAGCTAGAAGCAATCAAATATTTACTATTCATTTTCTAGAATGTTTTCTAGATTCTTTATATACAATTGTACTATATTCTCACAACTACCTTTTTAGTAGATATTATTATTCCCATCTTATATATAAGAAATTGTTGCTCAGTGTTTAAGTCAATATTTGAGGGCTATCATAGTTGGATGTTGAATTTAAAATCCATTCTCTTACTCGACAGCYACGTCTTTCCACACTAGGTCACTAATCACAAAGTGAAAAGCCATTCACAATCATGATAGCATTGTCCCTTTTAAGTCTTGTCAGACTCTGTCATGTACACTGACCTTGCCTCTTGACCCAGAAATTTTTCATTGAAGTTCATTTGGATGGAGTAAATGACACCTGTTAAAATATTAAATTGAGTGTCATGTATTGGCTTTCATTATTTGCAATGACATTTACTATTTATTTAACATGAAATTCTCTTCAAAGTCCAATATCAAAAAAGGTTGAATAAAATATTTATTTGAGCATGTTTTCAAAAATTACCTCATTTTAAATGATTTTATTGGTTTGAAATACATTACCTTTAAAAAAATATCTTTAGTTATACATGGACACGATAACTTTATTTTATTTATTTTTATTTGATGCTGAGGATTGAACCCAGTGCCTCACACGTACTAGGTAAAGGCTCTACCTCTGAGCTAYAACCCTAGCCCCAAATGCATTACTTTTTAAAACACTTATGCTCAATATTCTACAAGTATTAGTGGCTCATAAATTTAGTGATGCAGAATTAAACACTTTGAATATAGAATACTATTCAAACATAAAACCAAGGAATTCTGTTGTTTGTGACAAGATTGTTGAACCTGGAGGAAAATCCAGGTATAAAAAGACAAATACCACTTGATCTCACTGTTATGTGTAATCTAAAAATGTTGATCTCATAGAAGTGGAGAACAGAATGTTGATTATTGTAGCTGAGATGGTTGAGGGGGAGCACGCGGGAATATTGGTCAAAGTGTACATTGTCAGCTAAATAAGAATAGGTTTGAGATCTATTGTACCGTATAATGAATGTAGTGAACAATATTTTGAAAAATATTAAAAAAAGAAAAATAACTCATCAAGATACCAAGATGTGCAGAAAATGATACTTCTATGGAGTATTTCATGATAGGGAAGCAKAAAAATGTTAAACAAAACATAATAACAGAAGGTACCTCCAAACAATGGATATATAGCACCAGTCAGAGGTTGCAGTGACTGAGGAAGACAGATTGAGGCTGAGCAGTTGAGAAAATAAATCTGTTTGCAAGACCTGGTACCACAATTAAAAGCTTTTAAATGTTGGTTCATAGCAATCACCATCAGAGTAAATCACAATAATAAATAAATAACAATAAATAAATAAGAAATAAATAACTMATTTTAGGTAGCACTGGGAAACATGATATAATTAAAGAAATATTTGAGGGAAGTTACTCTACTAACATTGTTTAGGGCTGAAAGAAAGAATTGTGACRGGTGAAGAAAAAAAAAAGTTTAGAGAGAGGGACACTGAGGAGTAGGTAGGAGAAGGCCCCAGAATGTCAGAAAGGTTATCTTGAAAAGAAAAATGGAATAAAGCATTTTATTTTCTATGATTATTGGTGGATGAAGATTCCTGGAAGACAGTAGTGGACTCAGTATACTCGAGGATTTCAGAGCAGTGTTCTCTGAAATGTAAAAGAATGGCTGTGACCGCTACAGGTTCTTCATCTGTGATGCTATTGCAATACAAGCTCAAAAATCACTTGAAAAATGTGCTGTGCCATAGAGTGAGGTGTGTAAACATGTTCTTATATTTATACTTGGGGATGGAAGAGGTATGAACCAACTGCTCTAAAAAGATTATGTAATATCAAATTCTATGTTAACACATATCAACATTGAATAATCTGTCATGGGTGCCCCTGGAGCCATCATTCCCTTAGAATTAGAGCTTTGGTTCAGCATCAAATAGGGAATTAGAACAGCTAGAAATAGTTGGTCAAACCCYACTGGGTGGAGGAAAGTGGAGTAGAAGCAAGTCTGGAATCACTTCCCACAAGGGATAAAATGCAAGTCAGGAATCCTCTCCCAACGGGGGATAAAGTGATAGTCTGTGAGGCAGAAGTGTTAGGCCACCTAAAGCCCAGGAGCAGTGAGCAGGTGAAAGAAGGCATCAGAAAGGAAGGTAGAAAAGTATATGGAGAGATTTGAAAAATTAAAGACATAGGCCACCTAAAGCCCAGGAGCAGTGAGCAGGTGAAGGAAGGCATCAGAAAGGAAGGTAGAAAAGTTTATGGAGAGATTTGAAAAATTAAAGACACACTTCTTCAGGCTGTCCAAGCTCCTTGTCATGAAATATGTAGAATTTACTAATGTCTACAGTTTTTGTTAACAGATATTCCTGTTTGTTTTTTATGGTTTCCTAAATTGCATGTATATATCACAGTGAGGGAGGGTTTTTTTTTTGGGGGGGAGGGGTACTGGAGATTTAACCCAGGTGCCCTTTACCATTGAGCCACATCCCAGTACCATTTATTTATGTATTTATGTATTTATTTGTTTATTTATTTATTTAGAGACAGGGTGTCGCTAAGTGGTTAGGGCTTTGCAAAATTGCTGAGTCTCGCCTTGAGTATGCCATACTTCTTCTCAGCCTMCCACGCTGCTGGAATTACAGACATGTGCCATCTTGCCCAGCTTGTATGGTAGATGTGTTTATAACAAATATATCTTATGAACTAATTTGTTTTAAATGTTTATATATGATTTAAAAATGAAAGTGATTGAAATAAAATGTTAAAATAATAACTATTTAACACATTATTATAATTTTTAGCTGAAAATATAGTTTTATTATATATCATTCAGTTTTTTATTAAGATTTGAGTACTCAGTTCAACATTTACATTCTCACTTCCCTCCTCCCTTCCTTCCATCTTCGTTCCTTCCTTCCATCTTCGTTCCTTCCTTCTTGTTCCTTAATAGATATAATGTAGTGACTCTAGAGTTCTAGCACAAAGCTTCTGGAATATAATTCTACCACCTTTCTATACATCAGTTCAATCTGTAATATGATACCATAGTTTGATTGAGGCTTATAACAATGCCTTGCACATTACAGGCCTACAGTATGTGTATATTTATATCATATTATATCATGTTTTTATGTATATGTTCATATATATATATATAATGTATAGACACACGTATAATATATATATATATATATATATATAAATACATACACATATATATATATAAAATGCCTTGAATACTCTTACTAAAAAAATATTGACTATAATAATGAAATCCTAGCTTTAAGTGTCCATAGGTGGAACAAATCTGACAAATGAAGTCAAGTGAAGCCTGTAATGGCAGCTGCAATGAAAAATATGCTCTAAGCAAAGGATAGTAAAGCATATATACATAAATTATATATCCTTAGTCAAGCATATATAAATAAATCATCTTGGAACCAAAGTGACTATAATTATGTTATAACTTGTCCTGTTTATATTTGCATTGCCAAAGAATGTCCAATTTCATTTCAATAAACATACAGAGCTATTTCAAACACTAGAAATTTAAATGAGGATCTAGGAGTTCTTAGAGCAGGAAATCTGGGAGCATTATTAAGTACTGCTAAATGAAAGAGTAGCTTGTGGTTGTGTGAGACATGGTGCTCAAGGATGAACAGGGGATAGCATTGTGCTTGTGACAATGATTTAACATTTATTGACTAATTCTTTCCAGGGTATTATTTTGAGAATTTCGTTTACTTTTTTCATCTAAACCTAACCACAAGCCTATAATATAGTCGTATCATTGTGCCCATTTTATGGATGACGAAACTAGTTCTGAAAGGTGTTTGTCCAAGTGACCAGAGCTAGATTGTTGGCATTTGATYGGAAATTTTAAACTGKTTTGGGTGCTGATAACACTAAAAAAGTTTTCTGTTTATTGTTGCTATTAATTTGATGTTTATTTCTCTAACCAAAAGTGGTGTGTCCCCCACCACTAAACCTCACTTAATATTTGGAAGTCATAGCTTGAGCAATAAAATCAAAACACACCAACACAATTCATTAGACTTATGTGGCTACATTCTAGTCCTTAAGAGGAATGTACAATTAGGGAAATATTTCTACTTTATCAAAGTACACAGGGTACATATGTACTTATGTCTTGAGATGAAGTTGGTATGAATGTATAGTCATGCATTTCCTTTATTTTGCCCATTAAAGAAAGTAACACTCCATTCAGAATTGTCTCTTTTTACTTTATTTTTGTAAAAAGTCTTAGGCCTAATAGCAGATGTCTAAAGCACAGCACTATAGAATTAATCAATTAGAGGCATCAGAAGGGAGTGGTGATTTTATCCTATCAGAAAGTTTGTGGTGACTTTTCCTAACCAGCATGTTCACACCCTGGCATGCTGTCAGTAAAATTAGCTTTTCAACTCAAATTAATATATTGATTTGGTTTAACACATTATGTAGCTCACTGATGATTCACACAGTGGGATTCTCATAAAACATAATAACACAACAATTTTCTTGAAATACAGCTTACTTTTAGCATTTGCATAGGAGAGAAAACCTTTTATTTCCAGCATATTTAGATATATTYTATTTGTGTAACTATAGTATTATACAGTTCTGGTTATCTGTTCCCTAGATGTGGGTAGATTGCAAACCTCTGTTTAGAATGTACATAGAATGAAATACAGTAGATGGGGTAGAGAGAGAAGATGGGAGGGGAGGGGAGGGGGAATAGTAGAGGATAGGAAAGGTAGCAGAATACAACAGTTACTAATAGGGCATTATGTAAAAATGTGAGTGTGTAACAGATGTGATTCTGCAATCTGTATTTGGGGTAAAAATGGGAGTTCATAACCAATTTGAATCTAATGTATGAAACATGATATGTCAAGARCTTTGTAATGTTTTGAACAACCAATAAAAATAAATAAACAAAAAAAATGTACATAGAAAATAATGGAATTATGTTATATCTCCTTTTTGCTATTTTCTACAAAAACTAGAGAAGAAATGAAGTCTCTCCAGGAGGCCCTACAAAATCAACTTAAAGAGACATCTGAGAAAGCAGAGAAACACCAGGCTACTGTAAGTGTGTTCTTCTTTGTCCCTTTGCTTTAACGAGCGAAATTGATATTTTCTTTTTTTCAAAACCACTATGGAAAAATATACTATATAAAGTCAAAATAAAAATACTATAAAGAAGCTTCAGTCATTATAATTGGATGAATACTTGATCATCATTTATTCCAAGAAAATATTACTGTTATATTAGATTCTTGGGGGACAACTTTTAATCTTCTTTTATAGATAATAATCCAAGGGACAGAATTCAGCAAACACCCTAGTTCAGACTCCACAACAACAGCTTTTGGATTTGGGAGTGAAACTGACTTTGAAGTATTACAGTATCCAGATTCTTAACTAATACCCCACACCCACTGAAAGAAATCTCTGAGGCAGGCCCATAACTACTGCCTGCTTAATCAATTCTGCAAGTCATTCATCTGATATATGCCAAAGCTTAAAGGTTAAGTTAGTCTCCAGATCTTTTTCTCTCAAAATGATGTTCCCTTRACTCCCACATTTCTGCTCCTGAAACTACTATAGGAGGAAGGTGCTTCTGAGCAATTCTGAAAGGGAAAGTCCTATCTTCTTGCTGACCCACCTATGCACCACTTATAGGGATTTTTTCCAGGACCTCAGCCTATTCTACAAGATAGTATTCTCATAGAATATATGGTGTTTAATAAATGCTAAGAGATCTGAAACTACTATTGAAAGAAAGTTTATTTTTTACTATTCCTGAGAGGAATAGCAAGCTGTAAGGAAGATGGGTTATGAGGCAAAGGGAAACTGTGGGCAGGAGACTTGATTATAGTTTCTGAGGCAATGCGATGGTGAGGCAGAGTAGGGAGGTTTAGGATTGCCAGTTTGAATTATTTCAGTAGTCTCTGTGACATGCAAGCTTTCACAAGTTGTGGTTACCTAACTCTGAGGTGATTAGAGTGGGAATCTAGTGGCCCAAAATGTTAAAGCCCAAGAAAATGGATAGTTGAAACTGCTTTTTTTCTGGATTGATGGTTTTGCATTTGGGAAAAAAAAAAAAAGTGATCCTAGGAGGAAGACTCCYATCAGACTCTAATGAGGAGGGTAGGTAGATAAGGCAGACTAACTCAAGCATATCATGGGATTGTTCAGAACAAGGTGGAGTCCAGCACATGAGTGTAGGACCAAACTTTTCCTGGACAAACYATATGATAAAGCATCAATCTTACAGAAATTAGAAATATGGTTATTGTAGAATCTCCATTCTAGGTCAATTATCTGGAATCTCAGGTCCTCTAAACACCTATCCAGCCTTGTATTTGCAAGGTTTCTTTAAACAACCTTGATTAGATTGAAGYTTTGCTTCTGAAATTCAGCTCATTCTGTCACCTGAGACACCTGATCCCTGGGAATAGTGTTTCTCATAAAGATTGTTGATGTACCTAGAAACAGAATTGTTTCCTTTTAAGGACTTACTATTATCTGTCCTGCCCACCAGTAAGGACAGACATATTGATCCTTCCATGTTATGTTAACATTCAGTGCTTATTTGTAATAAGGCTTAATGATTGGTTCTATGTAGAACAAATGTTAYATTAAAAAATAGACAAGTTTCTATCATTGAAGATGTGCTTATTTGTAAATAGCATATTGCTTGTTTGGAAAAATAAACCAGTGTACAGTATTTTTCTATTGTAYTTTTGAAAAACATTTGGTCTCATTATTTCTGTTTTAGCTGAAGAATTATATTACATTTAGAAATTAACACACATATACACACAAAATAGACAAGTTTTCAGCATCTGYGTGATGATCTGTCCTCTCCACACCTAATCAAATTACTGAACAGTGCCGCAGTCTGGCTGGGCACAATTCACGAGCCACTTATCAAGCAGAAATGAACTTTATTTTTAGAACACACACAAGGCACCACAAGAGCTCTTCAGGAATTCCCTCAGAGCCCAACTGCCACCACCGGCTTCCCAGGAGCCTCTCAACCCCCCACTCCTCCTGCTCTTGAGGCCGATTGGCTGGGTTGTGTGGGCAGAGTCAAAAGAGTCCCCCAATGAGCAGCTCCGTGGTCTGAAAGGGCGGGGAAACAGCCCAATGAGCATCACCACAGAGGAGCCAATCATCTGGCAGCTGGAAGTTTGCTGGGGCCATGGTGAGCCAATCAGCTGGAAGTTTGCTGGGGCCCCTTCGGCTGTGGCTCTCAACAGAACAGTTCAAATTGCAATTCTATTTATGCCTTGACCAATCATATTTAATCTGGACTTATCTGATCCATATATAATTTGAAAACAAATGACAGCAGTTAGAACAGAAGTGCTTACCATGTACTATTTTCTCCTATCCTCAAAACAAAGCCACATTAGGTTTTAATTTGTTGATGTTGTGATGTTTTGTTCTTTACTGAAAAGTAAAGAACTCAAAAAAGSCAAATCTGTAGCTTGCATTTCCATAGCTAGTATTCAGAGAATAAAAAAATTCTAGTGTATTATGTTCACCAAGGTTCAAAATGAATAGAGTTGTAACTTTTGAAAGAGCATAAGCCCARGTTAGACTATCCAATTGTGGAAAATGACAAAGAGTGCTCAATTGGGAAGCAACAGAGAGACAGGACARGCTGTGTCACCAAGTCTTCCTCTCAACATGCTTGCAATGCCATCATTATGGGTCAACATCAATACTTCAGGGTTCGTCTCCTTCACTCCACTATTGTACTAAACCAGAAACTCTGCAGACCCTCAACTAGGCTTGCATTTCAGAATATGTATGTTGTGAGTTCAAATCCTAGTGGGCTAATTACAATGCAAACTTGGACAAATTATTTAACTTCTGCAAGTTTGCTTTTTGATCCAATTTAGGAGGTGAGTATCATTAAGATAACAAAGATACTTCCCCCAAAATTATATATGACATGTAGTACATAGTAGACATTAAACTAATACCATTCCCATACCTTTCTTGAAGTTAACAAAGGTACACATCTGTTCCTTCAACTTTTGACAAAATTGAAGTAAATATGCATTACTAGAGCAACAAGTCCCAGAAGAAATAAAAAAATCACAAGTGGCAACTCCAAATAGAGTCTTTCCTGAGATTATCCAAGGTACAAATGTAAAGAAACTGCTTGTATTGTATTGGGTCTTTTCCAGGAGAAGACATAAAAGGAGAAACTATCATGGAGAAAAAAAAAAGTGCCAGATTTAATTTCTAGAGCTTCAAAGTTAGATTTTTTTTTTTTAAGTAGGAGCCATTCCTTTTGCAGTACTGTACCCCTAAAAGATTATCAACTTGGAGCATTCTGGGACAAGAGGCTGAAATATCTTCACATATGCTATGGTGTTACATATGCTGGGACGTTATTCACATCYCAGTGGAGTGAACATCAGACAAAAAGTAAACTATCCAATACAAAGAAAAAAATTTCTAATTGGCCCAAATTCCAATAGACTAGAAGTTACAATAAATTAAAAGATGTTAAATTTACCAATACTATAATTTTTTTGTTGTTGTTGTTGTTTTTCTTGTCTTTCTTTCTTTTCTTTTTTTTTTTCAGTCCTGGGGATTAAATTCAAGGCTTCATGTATGAGAACATTTAAGGCCAGAGCTCTACCACTGAGTAACACCTAACCCCATGATATAGTTTTCAAAAGGAGGCAAAAGAGTTTAAAGGAGGAGAACAGGACAGTTTCATATATGCTATAATTTTTTTTAAAAAAATGAAAATATCATGTACTTAATATAATCAAGAAAATAAAATATGTGTGAAACATCATGTGAAATATTTAACAATTTATATTAATGYCTAAAAGCAAACAATTGAAAGAACAAAGATAAAAAGCAAAGACTATGTATACTAACAAAAAAAAATAAAAATAAAAACAAACTAAAAAGTCCAAATACATGTTTCTACCTTGAAATGCAGGTTAAACATCCAGCAAAACATAAATAATAGAAATAAKAGGGGGAATGCCAAAGTAGATGCACCAAATATTTAAAAAAATATATTTCATAATTTTAAACTACTACACAAACAGGGAATCTCCAACAAACTTTTGACATTTTGGGGGCAAATCATTTATAGTTATGCTATAGAMAAAAATTGTTTAACACATAAATGAAGTTCTGTTAACTCAAGAATRTTAATAGTATGTATAATAAGTTATTCAAACCCATTGGAATAAAGGTAATAATTTTGTAAGATTAAAATAATTCCTTAAGTTTAGAAAATATATAACACATTTCCTAATAAACTTTGCCTTAAAAAGAAATAATAGGCATTCCACCTTTTGGGTCCCCTTCTTCCTCCGGGAGAAGTCTTTTCTGCTGTCCTTTAATAAAGCTTGTACTTTCCACTCTAAACTTGTCTCTGCGTACTTCTCTGGTGTTATACTTCAGCATTGGAGGAAGCCAGGACTCCTCACCAATAACAGATTGGATGTTCCCCACTGAGATCTACACTGAGACCACCCATCACTCAAATGGCCCTCCAGCTTATTACTTCTCAATCGGACTTCTATCATGGACCACTATCATGGACTACTCGATAGACCCAATTTTTAAAAAAGGGGAACTCCAAAACTGCTTGCTCAACACCGCCCCCTTTTAGCTGGAAGAAGCCAGAATGGTCATTGCCGTCTTTCCTTACAGCACTAAGGAGTTCCCAAAATTAGAGGGGAAAATGAAGCCAGATTTAAAGATAGGTAGTTAGTGTAGTTAGGTAAATCGGGTCTAATATCAAGTAAGATAAATAAAATGGAAGCCATTATTGAGAATGGAATCTAGGAAACCAGAGCAGCACTTGGGGAGATTGAAATGTTAATGCCCCCAAGGCCCCAGGCCATCCCAAGGAAAAGTTAACAGCTCCCAGCAAAGATGGAGATGCTAATCCAAAACCCCTTCCTGCCCAGATTACTCCTTCAGCCCACCTGTCCCCCACCCTTTGGACCTTCCCACCTACATTCCATCACTTGCAAGATAACAGAACAAAGGACAGGAATGTGACAGGAATTTGGGAAAACTGAAAGTAGACC